TTAGAAGTATTCATCCTTGGTGAAGAATATACACATAGATATTTATCTCCTGATCATGGTTGGTTCCCCCATAAATATATATATATCTACACATATATATGCCCACCAGATAGAGAGATATAAGTTAGCTCAAAAAGAACCATGGAAAATTTAATCACAAGGTTGGGGTGAGGGTGTTATTAATTTAGAATGAGCATAATGTCAACAAACCCCCTAATTCTGCTGTTCTCACAGCTAATATGCCATCCCTGAAAATTCTTCAGGTCTCTGAAAGCAAAACTGCCAAAACCCCTGATATTAAATTGACAAGAAAGCATCTATACATTCTGTTCCTATATGTTATTCACAGAGGATAATGAAGGATGAAACACCTGCCTGGTACAGTTTTAGAAACATTGTTTTAATTCATAAGACTGAAGATTTAGTTTTCTTCCAGAGATTCTTTACCTGTAAGTCTAGCACCTTTTTCAGAAGTTAAAGGTCATTTTGAAATTCTTACATGAAGGAATCTTTCAACAGTGTTAAGTTGTAAATACTACAAATAAACTTGAAAGCAGTTTATATGAAGTTTTCTGCAATGTAAGTAATAAAAAACAAAAAAATGACAATAACGTAACCATTTTGAGAAAACAGGCTGTGGTAAAGATAAAAGAAAATTAAATCCTTGGTGTATTTTAACAGACAGAAAGGAACTTAATCATTTTCCATACTTTTGCCTAAGTAGAGAATTCAATTTCTTAAGACATCATCTGTCCTGTTTTCTATACTTCTTGTCTTTTCCAACAGCATTACTAAGCAAGGCTGTTTTCAGTGAAAAATCAAAGATTATTAGGATAAACAAGCTAAGAGAGCTAATTAGTATTTATAATGTCAATACAGTAAGTAAAAAACAAAATCCTTCCAAAAAAATCATATTCCTAGCAATGCTTGATGCTCTGTTTGTAAACTATTTCTGAGTATTTGTCAATTTTCCTCACTACTGTTAGCTTTACAAATGTCCTCTTTGTACTCTTCTAACACTGGTTTTGTATCAAAAGTTCTCACTAAAACACATTAAAAAAGTCACTCCTCTGATAACTTCTTACTATATTATTTTTACATTCTTCTGCTAAAGGGAACCCAGCCTTGCTGTCAATCCTCTCAGTTTTGGTCTTATTTTTCTTCTTTTTCCTGACAGTCTTCAGTGTCTTTACTCCCTGCTTTCCCATTTGTGAAACTTTTCTCCTTGCTGGTCAATGCAATGCCTTCAAAGTTACATTACATCGTCTCTTCCACAATGCCTTTCTATTCTCAGACCCTGGATCTCACTTGTCCTTACGCACTTCTTAGCCTTTCTATTGCTTTCATTTCTTCTTCACTAATTTTCTGGATTTCCTCAGGTCTCTTACTCTGTATTCTTAGATTGCAGAGAGAAGGCTAGAAAAAGCCCCTCTGATTACAAGAAAAACACACTACAGACCACAGAATAGCTGTGTCCCAAGTTTGCAAAGCCCCCCCTTTACCAGAGTAAAGACTTGATCCCTTGGAAGTAGGAAAAAAATTCTGCTAGTTTTACTGTATTTCTGTAGTTTTACAATGTGTCTTATCTACAGATGCTACAAGAGAGAACTACTTAAATACTCCATTACCAAAATTCAGCAATAATTTTTTCTTTAAAGAAGATACAAACACTTTTCAGCACAGCAGCACCTTACAATCTGAGACCATCTGGCACACAATATTCCTGACTACTCCTCAACTGCCTCTAACAACCTTTGTACTTCTCTCTGTAAGAGTTCACAGTATAGCCATAACAACAGGCTGGTCTGACAGCTACCCAAACTCAATACAGAAATAAAAGCCATAATACCTGCTGTTTTTCATGAAATCAGGACTTACTGATCACTTGAACAGTATTTTAGAACAACTCATTTGTTTAGATGGAAAAAATACCAAAAAAAAAAAAAAGATACACCAACTAATCCTTGTAACAAGAACTACATTTGGGGGCCACTCGGGCTATCCTTATTGTAAGTAAACTTAATCTGTGCATTTCAAAATCACTTTCCCATCTGTCCAACAGATTTAGAGTACTTGTACATTCATGTCTCCAATGTGCCAAGACATATGTTACGAATTTACTGGATGGCAGTATTTACCGTAAGTAGGATTCCAGGACTCTGTCCAGTCGTTTATAGAATGGTCGTGACGTAAAGTATCCACTCCAGTAATGATGATCTCTGTCTGCATAGGTGAAGAAGTCTCCACTTAAAACAGGGAAAAAATTGCTGTGCTTTTCACCCAAATTGCTTTCTTTGCGCAGAGCTTCGAAGTAATCTGATAAAGTTCCAAACTGGGCCTGAATGAAAATTAAAATTACTATAACATAGTTCCATTTTCTTTATCTACACATATGAAGAGAATAAATATGCTTCGTTTCACACACATTGCAGAAATATGCCAGTCTTCCAGCAGATTTACAGCAGAAATCCTACCCTAAAGAGCTTTAAAGTTTCCCTTCACACTTTTCAGACAAGCTGAATAGCTATTCCAAAAGCATTTCAACTTCATTTCAACTCAGTACAAGACAGACAGGGACCTGCTCAAGCAGATCCAGAGGAGGGCTGCAAAGATGATCACGGGGCTGGAGCACCTCCCCTGTGAGGACAGGTGGAGAGAGTCAGGGTTGCTCAGCCTGGAGAAGAGAGGGCTGCGGGAAGACCTTATAGCGGCCTCCCAGAACTTCAAGTAGGCCTACAGGAAAGATGGGGAGGGACTTTTTAGTAGGGCTTGTAGCAACAGGACAAGGGGTAATGGCTTCAAACTGAAAGAGGGTGGATTCAGACCATATATAGGGAAGAATTTTTTTTACAGTGAGGGTGGTGGAACACTGGCACAGGCTGCCCAGAGAGGTGGTAGAAGCCCCATCCCTGGAAACATTCAAGGTCCCGTTGGACGGGGCTCTGGACAATCTGATCTAGCTAAAGGTGTCCCTGCTCACTGCAGGGGAGTTGGACTAGATGGCCTTAGATGTCACTTCCAACTCAAACCATTCTATGATTCACAAAACATGAAATACTTTTATTTTAATGTATAAATTGATATCTAAAATACAAGCTAAATCTCAACAAATATTCGTAAGTCTTTACTTAAGTCTCTATCACATGAACTAAGTAATATTTCAATATTATGTAGTATATGTCTGGACTAAATAAGAAACTTAATGTAGTGCAACAAAATCATTGTTGTCTTAATCCTGCCTTTTCAAAATTAACCCTGCTGTGCTCCAGATCTCCAACATATGCTTAACCCAAGATGACTCTTGATCAAGAAACTATCATTTGCTTTTGGAAGCTGTTTTTTCAAAAACTTATACAAAGAAATTGTGTTTAGAGATCTAACATGGGGGAGTACCAAAAAAATCACTGTCTTCTGGTCATTTTAAAAAATGGTCAGACAAATGAGGCAACAACAGCCCTTTATAGGGTAGGTCAAAAGACAGTACCCTCAAGCTTGAGTGGTACAAAAAAAGGGGGAAAATATAAAAGGGAGAGGGACTGATGTCAATTCTGCCAGCATTGAGAGATGTTGTTAAAGAAAGCATAGATGGCAAACTGGATTTTGAATGAGATGGAAAAACAATTAATGGAAGTGGGAAGAGCACAGAAGATCACATTACCACAAGTATCCTCATAATGAACTATTCTTCAAATTTAACTCTTCAAATTTAAATTAAGTCACTTTATTGTTGTGGTTTTTGTTTGTTTGGTTTTTATTTTTAACAATAAGCATACAAAGTAGCATTCTGCAATTTACAACACAAGAAAACAAGTATTAGTAAAAATCTTTTAAAAGTGGTTTGGAATAGAAGGACTATTACTGTGACAAGAAAGATACGCTATTTCAACATTAAAAAAAATTAATAAACCAAACAGTATTCACTCTTCAAAATCATTCAGAAGATCCAAGTATCTGTTAGGTGGACACAGTATGAAAACTTGACACTTTAAACAACAGAAGCAGAGAAAGAGACTTATTGCCACAGAAATCCCAATATTAGTGATCCTTGCCTTATCAGGCACTTCTAGGACACTTGGCCATTTCCCTCACTATCGTAGATACATACAAGATAGAATATGGAAGAACAAAAACAAAACCAAAAAAATCAATGGATCAAGAGACATCAGGTATAGGTGAACTCCTTTATGTATGCTGGGTCACATCAGAGGAAGAAAACCTCACCAGAGCAACCAACAAAGTTGAAGAAACCTCATCCTAATGTCAGGTGAGTGGAAACATGAAATAACCTGGTAGACTCTTCTATTGGCATACAAACAGTCTCAGCTTAATTTATGTATAACAGATGTAAAGGAGATCTCCAAATGGGAGATCAAACTCCACAGGGCAAAATAAATACCTTTTATAGTAACCTACGACATACTTTTAGAACCATGGAATAGTTGCTGGCATAAGAATCTCAATGCTAACAGATATATCCACTAGATAAACATCTCAAATTGCCTGAAAGGGTAAATCTCTCATAAGATCGGAAAGGCAGAGAAGGCATTCCCTTGTGTAAGTAGTAATATCTTAGGAATATCAGCACTTAAGGAAGAAACATTAACTCTTTCTTTATATAATCTAAGTTCTTAGGAAGCTAGCATGACCTCATACTTGCCTGTGGAGTTACAGTCCAATGGGGAAAGTGAAGCAGAGTGTGAAAGTTCTCCACCTAAGCTCATATTTCCAAGGATAAATCAGTTTAAAAAAATCAACAAAAATGAACAAAAAAACCCCGAAAACCACCCCAAAAAACAGAGAGAGGAAGGAAAAAACACAACTGAATAAATAAAATGAAAATGAGACATACTCCACGGCCAACACTGATCCAGCTGCGCAAAGTACCCTAAGTATGAAGTGGCTGAATCAGAGAATTGCCTGTCTTTTTGTCTGGGTATTAACAACCAGAAAAAGGGTTGGATAGTTCTACAAGGACCTCAAAGGCTGTTGTGATTCCCAATGCATAAATCCAGGTGGGCAAGCCAGGGCTAATGAAGTAGACTTCTATAGTCCTTGACAATGGGCCGAGCAGAACCTTTCAGATAAGGATCTTTCAGGTGCCTCAGGACAGGAGTGGTCCTTGAAGAATGACCTCAGAGTTAAAGCCTTCACTTTTTGCTGCAGAGAAGACATCATCCAGCCCAGGTTAGTAAGAATGGAGTCTAGAGAAAGTATGCTGCTGTTAGGATCCAAAGAGTAACAAGCTGCACACTAGATCCATTTTTGAGGGGAGTAAAGCTGATGGTAGCAGCAAGCTTTAGATTTAAAAGATGGGCTTTAGACTTAAGAGTACTCTTCAGGTCTATCTCACTCCACTAAGACATAGCAGGGATTCACACACATCATGTCACCCACATCTCATAGGAAACAGATGCAAAATCACTCTCAAACAAGATGTGATCCCAAGAGATCATCTTTCTTATGCAGCACACAAATCCAGAAGTCAG